GGCGCGAATGGTTAGACATTTGACAGCAAGACAAACTCCAATTTTTAAAGTTGATTTCTTTTTTTGGATTCTTCTCTCACTTCCAAACCAAAACTTGTAATAATTAAATAGAAAATTTATCTTTTTTAAAATGGGTTTTTGATACGGAGGATTTTGTTCTGATCTTTTAAAGTACTGAGGATTTGTTAAGACAATTTCTTACTCCATTATTGACAAAGAGAAACAGAGAGGTAACGAACCAAAAACAAAACAGAGAAGATGGAGTTGGTTCAGATGCAGAAGAATTTGCAAGATTACACTAAATCACTCTTCTTGGAAGTAAGCTTTTTTTTTCCCACACTTGAAAAGAAAAGAAATATATATAAAAAGTTCACAACTAATTTCTTATCAGAAATTATAATTTGAAGGTGGAAGACAAGAAATAAAATGGGTTTTAGGATTTAGGTTTTTTGCAGCTTCTTTGGTAATCATGAGTTAAGTTTCTAATTATGGAAAGTTTCTTTTGTTTTGGTACTATAAAAAAAGGGGATTTTGGACAGCCAGTTCTTGCAGCTGCAACAACTACAAGATGAAAGCAATCCTGATTTTGTTTCACAAGTTGTGTCTCTCTTTTTCCAAGACTCTGATAGGATTCTCAACGATCTCTCACTTTCCCTGTAATAATCTAATTCATCAACACATTCTCTCTTTTTTAATCTTCTACTGCTATTTCGGTCCAAAACTTGTGTTTTTCTCAATGTTCTTCTGCTTTTCACAGAGATCAACAAGTTGTAGACTTCAAAAAAGTTGATCCTCATGTTCATCAACTCAAAGGAAGCAGCTCAAGGTAACAAACACAAAAGCATAAATTTGGTTACTTCTAATGTAGATCTGATTTTGATCTATAATGAGATAAGACTCAATTATATGAACATACATTTTTGAAGAAATGTGTAAAAGGTTAAGCTTTTGATTGTGTGTGATGTTGCCAAAAAAACAGTATAGGAGCACAGAGAGTCAAGAATGCTTGCGTTGTCTTTCGCAGCTTCTGCGAGCAACAAAATGTCGAAGGGTGAGTTTTGATGATTGTTTTCTGGTTGGTCTATTCTGTTTTCTCGATTTCAATATCTGATTAATGGATGAAAATTTCAGATGTCATAGATGTTTGCAACAAGTGAAGCAAGAGTACTATCTAGTCAAGAACCGATTAGAGACTCTGTTCAAGGTTAGGCATCTATAAGGAGACTAAACCACCCACATTAACTCTACTAAAATGTGTCATATTTGATCAACATATTGAAACTTATTTGATTCAAATTTCGTTTGTCATGATCAAATTTTCGACAGTTGGAGCAACAGATTGTAGCCTCTGGTGGGATGATCCCGGCCATGGAACTCGGATTTTGAATGGATTCATAACATCACTTTCCATGGTTATTCCAAGTTGGAGCTTTCTTCTTCTTTTTGTTACTATCCGAAAGAAAGTTCTTCTGTGAACTTCTTCTTTGTGTTGTTGGATGAATGAAAGACTAAGCTTTTTTCTTAATCAACACTTAAATCCTACTTTTTGTTTAATAAAATAACAAGCATATGTTTCAACCAAAAAATAATAATAATAACATATGATCATAGTTTCTATATACAGAATTGGTATTAATCCAATTATAGATCTAGAGATTACAAACTTCTATATTTATATGTGATCCGGACGGGTTTGATTAAGTTAGTGCTACGGCTTTTGTAATTTAATCACAAAGATTATGGATTTTTTTCCATTGATGAAGAGTAGAGTAGAGTATTGTTTTTTTTTTTNTTTTCTTAATAAATGTGACAATCAAGTTGATCGTTATGGGAATTGGATTCTATATTAGAGTCCAATATGATAGCAAAGGGCCCATAGTAGGGTTTCTTTTTCTATTTTTTTTAATGAAATTTCAAATTTTCTGATCATCATTTACAAATGGTAAAGAACAACGTACGCATGCATTATTTCGTTTGGTAAAGAATAACGTACGCATGCATTATTTTCTGATCATCAAATTGAACGCATATTGAACCACCGACATAGGAGACCGTGTAGTTAAGTGAGGAGATCCAGAGGAAGCCACATTCTATGGTGTTTTTGTGCATTTCTCTCCTTCCTTAGATGGTACATTATATGGTGATTTGGACCAGTAACCGAATTAAGATGAAGTCGACAGAACTGAATTGATTCGTGGTTAGGAGTACAAGTGTATCCAGCCAACCCATGTTGATATTGGAGTCTAGCCTAGGTTGGTTGCCTCCTCCCAGGAGCAGGGATACGCGTAAAAGGTGATTCTTTGTTTTATCATGCACGTTCCCCATAAAATATACACTTTTCTCCCACATACTCATTCGATCATCCGTTGAAACACTGTTTTTAGTTGGAAGCCATGAAATGAAAGAGAAGTGAAGAATTCCTTGAGTGAACTAGATAATTCTTATTTCGCCGAACGTGCATTACCTAATATGATCCCAAAACTGTATATTTTTTTGAATACCAAATGCACAAGTTTCTAATCATCGATACCAACCAACAATATGTCAATATAAAGCCAATTATGAAACTAGAAGAACGAGTTTTTTCCATTTCTAACCTAAACCTATATAAATTAATAAGTTTCAAAAAAGCACGTTCTCTTCTCTCTCCTTCGACAAAAAGCTTCCGACGTTTCTTCAACCCTATCGGCGTTGCTTCCGGCGCGTCGCACATCACTAGCTCCATCATCAGAAGCTTTCGTCCGCCTAACTCCATTCTATCAGTATGGATTTGAAACCCTCAATCAACTAATCTTACGCTGTATCTCCTCCACCCAGCTCTGTAATTCTTCTCGCCTCTTCACCTTTAGGTCACACCGGTGAGGATAATGCACCAGATCCAGGCTGGCCAAGTAGGTTTTGGTGGTCGGAGGAAGCTAAATCTCCAGAATCATAGAAGGAGATTGCTGAATCGTCCAAGAAGATGAAAACCTCTCTCCAACCCTTGTTTGTTGCCGCCGCTGGAGGATAAGGTGGTGCGACTTCATATGATCCTTCTCCTCCTCCATCGGTGAAAGCTTTTGCGGTTACAGTAAAAGCAGAAGTCGTCTCTTTCGAAACTTCACGCAAGGGCTGCAACCAAGTCACAATTCCGCCAGCCCAGAGCTCTAGGTCCGTATCTCCGTAATGGGCAAGGAAAAAGTTGAAATCTTTGTGTATTCGATTATCTCCCAGCCCCTTCGAGGAGCTTGGTTTGTGCCTTTAAATCTCTAGAAAGCAGTCACTGCCGTGGCAACAACGATCGAGCGCTCATCTCCTGAACAATGGCCATCTCTATCGGCCTCAACCATTTCTAAGTCAAAGTCAACAGATTTCAACACCAAAAGGCCGAAACCTACTGCATCGTTCGTGGTTTTTCAACTAGAAACGGCTTTGGACGATGCCACTAGGTTCCCAATTGGGTTGCAAAAACGGATCCTTTGTCAAGGATTTTGTGTAGAGAAACATCTCCTGATTACATGGAAGACGATACTCCAAAGATAATGATTGCAAGTCATGTTTTAAAATCGCGTCGAAAGAATGAGAAGGCATGTGTTTTAGGCCAGTTTTATAGATGTAGTACTCCGTCTGGTCGATGGTAAATAGAATTTAGGGAAGGAAGTGTAGAATTTTTATGAGTCATCTATGTGACTCAAAATTCGTCTTTTATATTTCGGATGCATCAACAAGGGTTTGGGTCTTTCCAAGAAGACTATGGCATGTTGATGATTGCCTGATGTTTGTAGCTCCTTTGTCCACCACAGACTCTTTTGCTATACTTGGAATTTCTATAATTTATGCATGGGTTACTTTGAAGAATGTTTCTAGCTTGTTATACTCAATTTCTGGTATAAGTCATGTTGCATATGGCCTAGGTGCTCCTATGGCTACTTACAAACCTAGGCGTGACCCTTCACTAATGGGAGAGGCCAAGATTTTGGTTGAACTGGAGCTGAGTAAAGCTTTTCCTCCTAGGATAGGTACTGTTGATGAAACATGGTCTATATCGATGCTAGACGTAGAGTATGCTTGGGTTGCCACTAAATATGGTAATTGTGGATAGTTGGGACATAAGGCCTCTCGATGTCTGCAATCTCTTCCTTTACTAGTGACAAAGTCTGCCTCAAACATGATAAGCTCATCTTCCGAGTCAATTCCTATAGAAGCAAATATTGTAGTTCCATTGGTTTTACCAGACTCTAATACATGAGTTTGCGTCGACGCCCCAATCTGAGAAGAATCTCTTAGTCATGATGAGACTGATCCGATCCTCGACATATGTCTGATTTCCTGCCATTATCATTCTATGGAAGTCATTTCCACTTCATTTATCCAAGAAGAATCACTTGCTGAAGCCATTCAATCTAGTGTTAACGCTCATGAGTGCATTACTAAAAGTGTTACTCATAGAATGTCGGCATCGACTAACACTCCATTCGTTGGAAATGTCCATGGATCTAATCGGTTCCTAGCATTGGATTTTTCGGAGATGGTAGATGATTCATCTGATATGGAAAAAGATTTTGATATAATGGATCTATTGACCCCTTTTTCGGACAAAGACTCCACATTTTGAATAGTTTTTGCCACACCCATAACTTTTTAATGCCTTCTTTTTAATCCAAAATGAGTATTTTCCAATAAATAATGACGTGTTCATGGTACACATGTAAGAATATTTATTCTTATGTGACCTATGTGTCTTTCGGTTTAATCATTAAAGATCAAGTTCATATTAAAGTTAAGGATTCTAATATCAAAGACGACACCGTGATGGACCGGTCTCGGTTAATACATTAGAATTTGGGTGTATTGATAACCCTCCTCCCTTACCTTATTATATTACAATGGCCTTTTTCTAATATGTGTATATATATTTCATCCGTAAGTTAATAAAGTAATAACTACATTTGGATGATGCTTCATATATAAAATGTAAGTGGCGGTTACTTAAGTGGTGGTTACGTGGAAGTGTTGTAATGAACCATCACAATTAAGCATGAACCATCACCACTAATTAAAATCTATAAAAGCCCACATGAAGTAACGTAATGACACACGTTCTTTTCCGCAAGAGAGTAGAACATTGATCGAAACAAAACATATAGAGAAAGGAGTTGATTCCTTCTCCATCGAAAGGAATCGTAAGGAGTGAAAGATCAAAGGGAGGAAGAAATCAATTGGTGAATTGATTCCATTTCAAACAAATCAAGCAATGGATCAAGGTTAGTCTTTCTTCTTCTCCAAGAAAGTGTTTGTGATTGAGTTAAATCAAACTAGATGATCTTGGGATAGATTTCATAAATGAAATCATTAGGAATATGTTTAATATATGGTATCAAAACCAATCTAGATTTGTTTAATTCATCACTATTAAACCTACGGCATTACGGTTGAAACTATGAACATTCGTTATCGCTAGTAGTTTTGAAATGAATCTCTTGCTTTCGGCTGTTAATTGGAAATTGTTTTTCGGTTGATTTTCAATTGATTTTGTTTGATTGCGTCGATTTCATACGCATACAGTGTTGTGTATGAACATGAAAGTGACGACGGTTCATGTGCATTCATAAAACGGTGCATTAAATCAAAGTAACGATAGAATAATTATAAATGCTGTAGGATTGTACAGAATATTGTGGCATGATATAGAATTATATTCGTGCATGGATTCATGATTAGGTGCATTCGTAATTGTTGTTGTATGCATGAATTGTTAACCGNCGGTTTATTTAAATGGCTCGCATGGTTTTATGGCACACNTGAACGTATAATATTTTATTAGTTAAAAATANTAGTAATGAAATTAAGATGCTTCNGCTGTTTGATTAAAAGTAGGGTAATTGTGTTATNAAATATTAATACAATATAAAGAAATTTTACCCGATTAAATTTTAATGTTTATATTGTATATGACATGTTAGTCACCAAAGTGGCCTTGTTATATTATATATAAACATTGAAAACTAAAATTTTTATTAATTGATCAAGATTAAAGAGATGCTATAAATGACATAAAAGTTTTATTGATCAATTATGTTATTATCTATATCTTTGGAGATCACCCAAAGGTGGATCATTAGATATAGTTAATGATACGAAAATAATTAATCATTTCTTACTATAGTCAAGAGTACGTATACCCAAAGGTAGAATGCTTACTGATTTTGTATACTATGATTAATTATAAAAGTTTCAAAATTAGCATCAATGAAAGTGCTTGTGTTTAAGTATTGCCCAAATGTTACTTAAATACATGCTTCAAAGTTTAAAAGCCTTCTATGAATCTGTATTAAAGTTTCAAANCACTAATGGGTAAGCATGTGTAAATGNTTGCANCTTCANNAAATTTGTTTGCATCTGCTAACTCTGTCNTAAANTTCAATGGGCTGAATTATGGGGAATGGTCCGATCAAATCCGGTTTACACTGGGTGCAATGGCATTGGACCGTGCAATCATAACGGATGAGGAACCACCAACCATTACAGAAGAGAGCTCTGAAAGTGACAAGTCTAAGTATGAGACTTGGGAGCGATCTAACAGGCTGAGTTTGAACCTCATGAGAATGACGATGGCGGAAAGTATTAAACCATCTATGCCTAAGACAGAGAAAGCAAGGGAATTCATAGAGAAAATTAAGGAGTGTTCACAATCGGATTTAGTTGACAAGTCGATTGTAGGAAGTCTCATGAGTGAGCTAACTACAAAAAAATTTGACTGGTCTCAGCCAATCCATGATCATGTGACGCACATGTCTAACTTGGCGGCAAAGTTAACGACCTTGGAAATGGAGATTTATGAGCAATTCTTGGTCCAATTCATCATGAACTCCCTGCCTGTTGAGTTTAGCCAGTTCCAAGTAAATTACAACACCATTAAGGAAAAATGGAACTTTAAAGAATTAAAGGCTATGCTGATTCAGGAGGAAGGGAGATTAAAGAAGATGAAGGAACAAGTTGCTAATCTCGTAGGTCTTGGAAGTGCCAGCAGCATGAAAGGAAAACCAAGTAGATGGGACAAAAAGAAGGANAAGACTTTTGTGAAAGGACCTGAAAGNCAAATCCAGAAAGAAAGGAAGTGTNTCTTTTGCAAGAAAATGGGACACTTTAANAAAGATTGTCCTAAAAGGAAGGCATGGTTCGATAAGAAAGGTAAANATTNCAGTTTCGTTTGCTCTGAATTGAATCTTATTGAAGTGCCAAATAATACTTGGTGGTTAGACTCTGGTGCTACTACTCATGTGTCTCATATTAAACAG